ATTACTTGGGGTCCAGGGATCTAAACACTGCTCCTCATGTTTGCTATTTGAATAGGAAGGACTTTAATTGATGAGACAGATCCCCATTCCCTTGTTCCTGTTTCTATTTTTAGGGTCATTCCTTTGCTTTGGTTTCTTCTGACACAAAAGATGATAAGCCTCAAGGGATCCAAGTATATTCCACCCTCTCCAGTTCTGGTTATGTAGCTTTCTTACAATTCCACTTGGATATCTGCATTTTCGTCAGGAAGTAGGGAAAGGAGATCTGAGCGAGAGACCCTGCTCACCAAGCCGCTCCTGAGGAAAGAAGCGGTACTGTGTACTTTTCCTCACTGGGGTCTCTTCACCTTTCCTTATTTATGTCTTCTTTAATACCACAAAGATGGATAAACTCAGGAATGTTTCCATATGCCATACTACATGAACAAATCTTCCCAAACAATGTTTAGGGGATAGCCATAGGACAGGTGGAAGGCAAGCATGTTTTTAACTTCAGTTCACTAAAAACACACCATCTCCTTATCAAACATGTAGGAATCTCATGGTGATCACAACTTCATTATGGGAAAAATTTTCTGTGCATATTATTTAGAGCTTCAGTCCAAATATGGCTTACCCAATGAAAATGAGATGCAGGGGCTGACATATATTCTGTGGAGGGCCAGATAATAAGTAGCTTGGGCTTTCTGGGCCACAAAAGCTCTGTTCATTTCAGTTAAGGAGAAAGCATCCTTAGGTAATATATGTAAATGAATGGGCATGGACATTTTTACAGTAAAATTTTATTTATGGACTCAGAATTTGAATTTCATATGATTTTCATATGTCACAAAATACTCCTCATTTTTCTTTTTCCAAAAGATACATGGAGGTAAAGGGAAAGAAAGAACCTGAAAAGGGGATAGTAGGGAACAGATGTTACCAGGAGAGACGTTTGGAAAGTGGAAGTGCTGGACAGGGAGGAGAGAAAGGAGGGTTATGCAAGGGGCCATGGTGTACCGGGGGGAGGGAAGTCAGGAGAGAGGGTATGATGGGAGGTGGGTGCTATTGGAGGGACGGTGGGGATAATTAGAGTGTTGACAATGGGGAGGGAGAAAGGACGCCAGATGGGGGGAAAGGAGTGGAGTTGAATGAATCTTGGAGGGCTAGGAAATCCAGGGGGAAATGTGATGCCCTCAAAATCCCATAATAAATGCACACACAGTGTCTGAACATTAGTGTACATGTATACCTGGGAGCTGCTTGGCAAGGAACACATTGTCAGGCAGGAGAGACCTTCCATTGTGTGGCTGTTGAGGGTTGTCCAAGAGACTCCCAAAATAACATAGGCTATTGCCAAACCTCTTGGTTATCTCCCAGAACTAGTAGATAAGACCCTACTGCTGAAGACACGGCATACTTTGGATATAGAACTTGAAGCAATGGAGCAGGAACTGGCCTAGAAGTCTTCTAACTGAAGTTTGGCTATCATAATGCTAGATGATGATATGCAAACTGCCAAGGGAGAAACACAATCAATGGTCCAAACCATCTCTAATGCTTAATAATTATAACTACTGGCATGGCAAACTATCTCTATTGGTGCAGTAGTAGCACTGTTATCTGGGGGTCAATCAACAGCTATCCAATTGAACTTAAAGCCCTCTCAATGAGAGAGAACTCATGGGTGGCACTGTAAACTCAGCCAAATACACATGGCAGGAAAGGACATAGATCCTAAAGAAAAACCTATCTCTTTCATATCTCTAGACAAATGAAATTTCTTACTATATGCTAAATATGGATCCTTATATTTATAGACAAGCATACTGCACATCACTCATCAAAGAAGCTTCTTTTTGCAACAGCTGGAGGCTACTACAGAATTGCACAACTGGTCAGACACAGAGAACATACATCTGGGAGACGCCCAGTACCAGGTGGCACACCTGCAGTTGAACCTCTACAACTGAGGCTCATGGAACATAGTGGAATAAGGGGTAGAGAGAAAACTAATTCATCTCTCAACTCTCATCAGTAACGCTTCCCTATACAACAGAGTGCAAAGCACAGGGATGATCACAACTGGCCATGTTTCAAAGAGACTGCAGAACGCATATCCTTGGATAGGACTCCTATATTGAATCTCCCACACCCATGACTCAGGGTCCACTGCAGAAGAGGGGGCAAAAAGATCGTAATAGCTGGTGCTGGTTCATGAACACAGGGAAGCAGAGACTTTCAGGCCACTGGAAGCTTGTACATGTGAACTTGTGGCAATGGTGGCCTCGAGCCCAGGACCCATGGCAACTCAATTAAACCATGCCCAGAGGGGAGGAGAGATATTGGTGGCAGGCAGCGCTAGACTGAGAACTATTGGGTACCAATTGCTACTGGGTGAGGGAGAGTATGCCTTATATATGATCTCTAAATGGGCTGACTAGACTCCAGAAGACAAAGTTACACTGAAGGGCATCTGGGTACAAATGTTTGACTGGATAGGAGTTAACATGTATGGAAGAATACATGAGGTCTGGTGGGGGGATGATGGAGTCATGGATGGGGGAGGGGTCTAAATTTGATTAAGAACTATTGTATGAAATTACAAAAGCTCAATAAAAATAACAATTTTTAATTGTAAAAAAATAAATGGTATTTAAAAAATCTGTCTTAGCTCTCAGGCTTTGTAAAAGTATGTGGCAGCCTGAATTTGGACTGCTGCTTGCCATCTTGTCTTTTAATAGATTCATTTATTCTTTCACTTCCTGTAGGTGTTACATGAATGCCATTTTCTTCTACAACACATTAAACAAAAAGAAAAAAAGACTTTCTTGCAAAAAAAAAAAAAAAAAAAACTTTCTAAATGCCCCAGGTAAGAGTGATCACACTTTTAAATAGCTTTTTCCTCCTCTCTGTCTTGCAGCCAGAAATTCAGTCACAGCAAACCAAACACTGATACATTATTTCTTCCATCATTCCACAAGCACAGAAATCAATAGGATTGATCACACAGGCATGCACCCAGGGGAATGGAAAATGGGACCTCTGCCATTAGATATAAAGATAGTCCTCCAGGACACAATCTGAAATAAGGCTCTGAACCTGCCTGGATGAGGTTTGTCCCTGCTGACACCCACGTGCATCCCAAGATACAAGGAATCTCAAATGAGGATATTGCAGCTCCCTTTTGGAGGCTTTCAAAATTAGTCTGGTCCACAGAAAGATTTGCACTATTTCTCAGTCAGGTATTATTCCTGATGAGGGGGAATATTATACTAGCTTCATTGCTTGATCCTGTGGAAGAATGTTCTTGGTGATTTTGCTGCCCCACAAGTACAAATATGACATTTCCAGCTGGTTGAGAAGGTGCCATTATATTAAGCCAGACTAATTCAGAGTAACTTAGTCCTTTGGACCTACTATACAAATATCTTAGGTGTCTGGAGAGATGGCTCAGTGGTTAAGAGCATCTGCTGTTCTCCAAGAGCACTTTGGTTTGTTTCCCAGTACCCACATGGAAGCTAACAACCGTTCATAATTTGAGTTCCAAGGGTTCCAATGTCCTCTTTTGGCTTCCATGGGTACTGTACACATGTGGTGTAATTATATACCTTCAGACAAAACTCTCATACACATAAAATAGAAATAAATTAAATATATAAAAAATTAGAATGACTAATTTATAAATAGTAGAAATGTATTTCTTATAGTTCTAGAAACCCAAAAGCAAAGCATCAGCAGATTCAGGATCTAGAAAGGGTTCCATTCCCCAAAGACAGCTCCTTGCTGCATTCGCATATGGTAGAAGTTGAAAGGCATCCCATTCAGTCTTTTATAATGACATATAATGCAACTAATCCCATTCTTAAAGTCTCCTTTCTCATGATTTAATCACTTCTCCGAAGGACTCACCTCTTAGTACTACCACAAGAAATATTAGGTTGCAAAATATCGATTTGGATCTGAGGAGGACACCAATATCTAGACCATGACAATGACCAACTATTCAGGAACGGAATTTTCTCAGGATGTAGGCCTCCATGCATGGTAAAACTGGGATAGTTGGCCAGCCAAAAAATGAACTCCTCCTCTTTTTATATTCTTCTTTATTCTTATCCTTTTCCATTTTTTTCCAATCATGCCTGACCATCTATGACTTCTTTGTGAAGCAGAAGCCAGACTAAGTGTGAGAAAGAAAGTTTCTTCAGAAGACCCTTTCCTAAAATACAGATGTGCTTTTTGTTCTGTGTGAGCAAAGTGGTAAGAGATCTCTGCTCCAGTTTACAGTGTTGAGATAGTGTTAGTTTACACTTAATTATTGCTGAATAACACTGATTTATAACAGAGAAATGTCATCCATCTTTATGCATCAATACCTCTGTAACATGAATACGTTAAATAGACTCAGTCTCACTTAAATAATTCCTAAAGATTTGTTTCATCCTAAATTCTCCAAGAAAGTGTAACTCTGGTGGGCTTTTAAGGGGATTCTTGGCCGATATTTGAAAAATCACATAAAATATACCTTCTGATGCTGAATTTAAAACATCACATAACAATCTATGTCCACAATAAAATTCATTAAACCACAAAATAAATCATATTTCTTTACATATTTTGCCTTTGATCT